ATTGAAAACATCAAAGATCATGCGAAGAAAATATTATGATACAAACAAAGCCATAGTTACAAAGATATGAGTTCAATATACTCAAACTTGAAGTGAAAACACCAGACACCTTAGCTGGACTAGTTTCATCCACTGTTCGGATATGAATAAATGAAAATAAATCTCGTCCTGAACGAAACCAGGACGAACCAGTAAATTTACAGAACCTAGACTGACTATAAAATTAATAATTTCCGAGATTAACGTCCCTTTCTTCTTTTTGCGGAATCAGTTTTACATGAGTGTATAGGCAGAAAAGAAATGATTTGGGGCCATGGTAGACCAGTTAATACATAATTCATTTACTTTATTGGTATAAAATGCAAATGGTAGGATTGTCACCGAGACATTCAAAACCGAAATTATACACGCAGAAAACTCAAACACAAATACGTAAATGTGAAAAAAAAAACAGAATGTTGGATCAAATATGCACATACTAAAATATTTTTCGTATCTGTTAGATGAACCAACGACGAAGACATGGTAAAATAAAATAACAAGCGCTATCATCTATACAACCTTTCGTTTACACCATTTACTCCTGAGAATGATGTTTTTTTTTTTTATAAAAACTTCCATGATTTGACACACTTTGAAGTCTATAATGGTCAATTTTACTGTGATATAGCTACAAAACAATAAGTAATACATATCACAGAATATAACAAAATTAGGTTAAGATTCAATATACTTTATAACGATGTTTCTGATTTTATTATATTCATGTACAATGAAGATTTGTTTATTGAATTTCAACACAAATCTAAGTGTTTGTTACTTGTTCCTTCAATTGTTATTGAACAAGGACTTCAAACGGACGGTACTGAGGATGATACCATGGACCAAGTTATACGAAAGAGAGGCGAAAGATACCAAAGAGACATTCAAACTCATAAGTTAAAAATAAACTGACAACGCCATGGAAAAAAAACCCCGAAAAAGACCAAAAGACAAACAACAGTGTATACAAAACACAACATAGAAAACTAAAGACTGTCAGAGCAATACGATTTAGGTTGTTAGCCGAATTATATGTTCAACTATCCATCTATATCATTATCACGGCGTTCTCATGTTTTGTTTTAACAGTTTGCAAGTGTGAGTTCTTCAATTTTTATTTGATGGATCCATTTGTACAATTTTCATAAAATTTTCAAGTCTTTATTGTTTTCATCGTAATCGCCATTGATGATATTATGTGTCGTTTTCCTTTTTTTTTGTAAATAGTTCAAGAGCAAGCCGATACGACGTCCATGCATTCAGTTTTTCACCACCAGAAGGAGGGTGTTAATCTTATCCAAACTTTGTGGGCCAAGTTGAACGTCGGTCAAAGTGATATCAAATTAGGCGAATACAACCATGGATGATATACACACAGGTAATAGAAAGTGGTACTGTGAGCAAATCTTACAAAATGATACCCGCACTTTATTTCCAACTTAATAAAAGCCTATGATATGTTCAGTTATGGAAACCCAAAAATAATTAGGGCCCCGCCGAATTGCGGACGCCCTATAGTGATCAGTCTGTCCGTCCGTCCGTCTGTCCGTCCATCCGTCCGTAACAAATTGTGTCCGCTCTATATCTAGAGAACCGTTATGATTTCAAAGTTTATACTTGACATGTATATTACCCAACACCAGAGGGTGTGTCATAATTTATGTACAACTTCCTAGGTCAAAGGTCAAGGTCATAAACTTTGGTTTTAGTTGACAACCCCATGTTCTATGGTAAAGATCGTGTCCGCTCTATATCTTGAGAACCGTTATGATTTCAAAGTTTATACTTGACATGTATATAAACCAACACCAGAGGGTGTGTCATAATGTATGTACAACTTCCTAGGTCAAAGGTCAAGGTCAAAAACTTTGGTTTTAGTTGACAACCCCATGTCCTATGGTAAAGATCGTGTCCGCTCTATATCTTGAGAACCGTTATGATTTCAAAGTTTATACTTGACATGTATATAAACCAACACCAGAGGTGTGTCATAATTTATGTACAGCTTCCTAGGTCAAAGGTCAAGGTCATAAACTTTGGTTTCAGTTGACAACCCCATGTCCAATAATTAAGATACAAATTTTTTACCACACATTATTCACAGCGGAGCCCACAGAGATGGCTCCCATCTCAATGATATCTAGTTCGGATAAAAAACAAATAAGAAGTGCACAATGACATGCATTATATGGTTAAGATTCTGAAAAGGTTTAAATAATTCTAACAGAGACATAGATCTCTGATTCAAATATGGGGTTTGGAGGAGTTACAAAACAATGGGCATCTTCCAGATAAAGCAACGACAAAGTCCATGATTTGCAATGGAAAAACAAAAACATTGATTGGGATCGAAATAACAAGAAAGAAGGTTTACAATTGTGTTATACGCACGGCGAAGATTCTTTTACCTGTTTCATTAAATTCTGGTTAGGTGTTTTACAAGTAGAAGTTTATATAAACGTGTACTATAGAGTGCTGATTTGATAAATTTCAAAGTCATGCAATAATAGACCCACAAGTCATTCCGATGTAGAAATAAAATAGGAGCGCAAACGAACTTCATATGAGTAAAATTCTGTGAAAGTTTCACAAAATTCTGTCAAGCTTTTTAAGAACAGTATGAGATAGAAAAAAGTTGAACGGAAAGAAGAATAGACTTATGTACTAAACAATACATGAAACAAACATATGATAGACAGCAACCAACGACAGCCACTGAAATACAGGCTCACGACTTGGGACAGACAGAGTCAGCCATTTTCAATTGATTTTTAGTTTTCTCTTATGTTGTACTGTTACGTATCTCTGCCAGGTTATTGGGAGGATTGAGTGCTCACAAACATGTTTAACCTCGTAACATTATATACATGTGACTGTTCCAAGACATGAGCCTCTAATGCAGTAGTTGTATATGGTTGCTGTCTGTTAAATTTGTTTTTCGTTTATAGTTCAGTACATAAATCAGGCCGTTACACAATTTGTCATGGCGGGGTCTTTATAGCTGGATTTACGGTATGTGTATCGCTGAAGTCTGTATTATAAAAGAGAGGCAAACGGTACCAAAGGGACATCTAAACTCCTAAGTCAAAAACAAACTGACAATGCCATGGCAAAAAACGACGAAAAGACAAACAACAGTACACAAAACACAATATAGAAAACTAAAGAATGAGCAACACGAACCCTACCAAAAACCTGGTGCTCCTGAAGGGTAAGCAGATCCTGCTTCACTAAGCTATAGTGCTTAAATCCACGTCATTTGGACTCTGTTGGGAAGTTGTTTCATTGGCATCTTACTATGTCTCCTTATTTGAGGCGGTGTTAAACATAATGTTTGCGACCCCCTTCCTAACGTGAGACAGTGGTGTAACAGCGAAATGTTTAACTTATCAGATCGATTCAAAGCAACAAAATACAACTAATAAAAAGACCAAAAACAACAAAGTGCGGATCTAAGAGTACTCGCCGTTACTGAGATATAGCTCAAAGCCAACGCATTACAACTAGTAAATATGTTATGTTTCCGAATCTCAAATATAAGTCAATACACATTCAATGGATTGAGTTAGTAACTACGTCATAAACAGTCTGCGAAAAACACGTGTAATGCCAAAATATAAGTATCGACATGATGTAGGACAGTATACGTGTGGAAAGGAAAAGAGTACAATTTTAGACAGGTTTTAATCAGTATCAAAATCAATGTTAAAAAACAATATTAAAAGATCTTATTATAGTATTAAATTGATAACCTTTATAGAATAAGTGTATTCAAATGATCGATAAATTTAAATGAATCATATCTAAATCAACGGGCTCTATAAACAACCTCACCATAAACAAATGAGGATGTGATATTCCGTTTGTAATACGTTTTCGACAGAAATTGTAAGTAACATCATCTAGCACCGAAGCTGTGCTTACAGATAATAGGGAACGAAAGTCGTCCCTTTTGTGGTACTGTTTTGTCTATTCTTTCTTTTTACCGAGGTTTCTGATATTGAAAACATGATGCGTTTTCGCTTTTTCCTTTCATAACAAAACAACAAAGTTATATTAAATTATTGTACAATCAATCTTAAAATCATGTAAAATCCAGATTTGCAAGACGCGGGAATTAGTAAACCGACACATAACCGAACACACATGCTGCATATTCTTTCAAACACGTGTGAATAATATTTTTTAAACTTTTACACGATTTTATGTCCATAAATGGTGATATAGAAATTTCATAAGCAATTACAAAATTTCGACTAGTGGTTGTCTTTTTCAGACAAGTGATATATTATGTTCACTTGCAAGTTATTAAAATAAAAAAAGTTCAGTATGCCGAACCCTGCACTATGCATGCTAATTTTAATCTTTTGCTACTAATCTGAACATACAACACCACGAGAAAGACAGAAAAACCCGAGGCCACAACCAATGCATAAACTCGGTGGAGAAAAACAATGTCAAACATAATAACACAACTAAAACAATTACTATCCACACTGATCTGTTTCCACACTTGTATATATATATCATAACGATGTATTGATCTTCATTTTATTTCTACGATATATCCATGGCACATTTGCCTCAGTCTGTATTATGAAAATGGCACAAATAATAATGGGAATAACATTGGTGAGATCATACAAAGCATCTGAAAATCGAATGACGAACTGGTGTTCGTATGCATCATATATTTAAGTACAGTAAACTTTACGTTAAATACACGCAAATGACATTCAAAACGTACATTTTAGAAAGAAGCGGGCCCAAAAAGTCGCCCAAAAAGACGCCGACTATACATGACTTCCATTCCTGATTTTAGGACTAGGGTCAAACAGGGGTCAGCTTAAGGGCTATTCAGCTATATTGATAAAGGGTTTGATCTATTCTTTGTTATGTTTATAAAGTTACGCTTTGACGCTCAAAAGTTCACCTGTATATATACGGTGTGACTTGTAGCGAAAAAAAGGTAAAAGTTTGGTTTGACATGTAATGAACATCTATAAGTTATTTAAATCCATGTCGATCAACTGTTGATGGGAAATATTAGATGAGTAAAGAACGAAATGGGCAGTAAGTCTTCTATAATATTATTTCGTTTAAATAATTTGTGACAAAGCTTGTTAGCTTCCTCTTATGTGTTTAGTGTTATGTTCAATTTGTCACATTTATACTTTTGTCTTCCGCCAAGTAAAACTGTACACTAGTACATTAATTAAAATTCGCTAGCAGTTTCTCACTTGCTGTCATTATATGTGACCTTGCATATTTCTTTAATTTATGCTCATGGGTGAGTTTAGCTAATGTTTTAATCTGCGGATGTGGTAATGATACTTAGTATTTTGGTCACCGAAACTAAATATTTAAATGCAAAAGAAATATTATTTTTTAAAAGAGGTTTGCTGTGGTGCAGGGGGAATGTTGTAAGCAATGTTTTGGAACATTCAATACACTTATATATTAATATACCGGTATTAAAAGAAACTTACTTCTGTGAAATATTCGGTTACATACATATTTTATTTTACTAATTACAAAATGAAAATGAAAATGCATGTTGACTTGAATTAATGTATATATATAACAGAAATTTGCACACGTTTAAAATAAAACAAAATAAATGCAATGTATACCGAGAACTTTTATAATAATATAATTATAAATTCTTCCTTTCAAAATCCTTGGTTTTATATATGATAGTCATATCTTGTCATGTCTTTGTAAACGAATATGCACGTGAAGTTAATTGATAGCATTCAGACAGTCTTTGGACATTCCTATATACAACTGCGTATAGTACGTATAAATTAAAGATACATACTTTAAATATGTAAATGTAGTCAGGTTAAAGTGAATCGGTAATGGAAGAATAGTTTTATAATAATTATCCGACAAAATAAATATGTTTACATCATTGTGTTTTGATAGAAATATGTTAATTTTCGTGAGCTTTTTTCAAAAATAGTATCTCCCGATAACCTACATGTAAAAAATCTACGTTTTCCTTTTTAATCGTTTCCTCGTAAATTGTGTCGTTTTTTTTATACCGCAAAGTGTCAATCTGCCAATTGTCAAACTGCCATATTAATGTTCCTGAAAGAAAATTGATGAAATAAAAAATAATGTGTACACTGAAAGTAAACATTTTGGTAAATCTTAAGGAATAGTACATATCGACAGATTTCGTCTGTATAGCAGATGCGGATTTAGTGAGGGGGGAGGGGGGGGGGGGCAGGAAACCCGGCCACCTTATTGAGCTTCATATATGATAAATGCATATAGACTTTTTACAAGTATCACGCCAGACATTGGCTTGCTAGAGGGACCCTCCTTTTTCAAATTCCTGGATCCGCACCTATATAGTGGTAACATTATTCCCTAGTTCCTAGGAATATTGTACTAAGTATATTAGTCCCAGCTAGTTCTTTAGGTAATGCAACTTTCTTATGCAACCCAGTATATGAATAGAAAACGAAAGCGTTACTTAAAAAAGCAACACACATTAAAATGCATTAATGCAGCATATTAACACAGCCATATTGAATAAAATGTAGAGATCAATTTAATTTTTAATCACTATTAAACATGATTTGAAGCACAACAAAACTTAAAAGCGTACTAAAATTTATATTTGTGTTTCTTCTGTAATGCCCCCCATCAGTGGCGCAACATTGGTAATAATAAGTTTTGATTTGAATAATCTGAGATTTTTTTTGTGTAATAGTACAATTAAGGATTTATATAGTAAATAGTCTTAATATATATCTCGAGTAGTATGGTTGGAATAATATTTTGATTTTGTCTCTGTTGGAAAATACATTTATGAAAATAAAAAAGAATAAACAAGGCAAATGCCGGCCTGCGTCTTTAATATGATCCAAAACTAAGACAAACACATGCAGGCAGATATCCAGTTGAAATTAAACAAAAGAAATGGAACTCTTTATTAGAGAAGAAAAAAGGCCAAGTTGGTTTACATCTGTTTCAATGGCCTTAAAAGTTTAATGTAGGTGCATAATCTAAGATTTTTTACATCTTATATACGTGTTTTTGTTTAAACTATTGTATGGCATAAAGATAAAAGAATGACCTTTATAGAGCATTATTTGCATCTCTGCCCCCGGCGACAGTTTTATGTGAAAAAATCCTAAAAATGTGCAATAATCTCATCGAAAAGAGAAAGTCGAGTACATCTTTTTATGTTCAGGTGTGTTTGAGTTGATTGCTTTGTTTTGAAAACGTATAAAGCAAACATATTTGATACACCATCTCGCTTCAGATTCTATCATTTTTTATGTATCTAGGCGACAGGTTGATATGATAACATTAAAAATTCACAGTACTTAAAATGAAAAATATGGGTCAAGTGAAATACCTTTCTAAAGAGTCATAATAACAGTGTAGGTGTGTTTGAATAACACATTTTTACTAAAAGTACTTGACAAAAGTCCTAAAAGTTTATTAAATGATGCTTAATAGCTAGTACATACCTGTGTCTTTAAATATACATCTGTCATGTAAGAATCGTATTGAAGCTATGTGGATAAATTTACCGGTTTTCAAGAGCTACATTGACAGCGCGTCATCCCTAAAATGGCTTCCATTTTCACGATTTAAAAAATTTGGTGGCGTAACGGGGAGATAATTTTGACGAAGTTGAATCCTGACTGCATGAAAAAAAGAAAATAGTAATCGAGCGGAACCATCTTAAAGACACTGTAGGAGCGCACCGAGCGTTGAAAGCTTTAAAACTTTTCTCGCGCACCTTCAATAAATCGACGGTTCTCTCTCTACCGTTGTATTGGTATTAGTATCCACAACGTGATACAGATACAGATTTTCACATTTTTCTGACGCAGTCAGTATAATTTCGGTTTGTGACCCATTTAAAAAGGACGCTTCACTATGTCAACGGCATGCATGATGTAACAAATCTTTATTCTGATTGGACGAAATAACGGAATTGAAAAAAAAAGAAGAAAAAAACCAAATTGCTTTCTTTAAAAAAAGAAAAGCAATACGTGAACCCAGACCGCTGACTGCATGGTCACCAAAAAATTGTTGCTGAATTTTCGTTTGCTTTTGAATTGAAATAATTGACTGCGAATAGAATAAGATGATAATGACGTTAAAACACCTTTATTAGAAATATTCAATTGTGTGTAGATTCTTGCACAAGTCAGTTGAACGCAATGTTGGATAGTTGTGAATAGAAAAGTGAATATATACAGCTTCTATTTGAATATACATTTTAAAGCTCGACTATTTTATTTATTACTTGGGAATGTACATCATTTTTTCATAACCCTTTTGTAAATCCCAGTTTCTACAAACCGGATGTCTAATTCAAATTGATCAAACCAATCGCAATATAAATTTAAGCACTCATGACAGTTTGCTTAATAATCTGGATGCATTTATTTTATCTATCATATCTTCATATTTTGTTTCCTGCATGGATGCCTTCAATTATTCTCAACTCGTTACTGAAGATGTCTGTACTCATGGTAGATGTTGTATAGATATATTTAAAGTCCAATTTCCATCTGAAGTGAAAGCCTGTGGCATGCAACTTATATAAGAAGGTTAATTCATATATTTTTCTTGAGAGTAACAAACCAGCTTCATTGTGACCTCTTATATAGAGACTTATTTTGGTTTTATATGAAACATCTCAAATTTTAAGGACTTCCTGATTTTACTTATATAAATCCATATATTCTACAGAAAAACTTGGTTTTAAAGAATATATAATTTTCAGAAGTTTTATGAATACCTGAACCGAAAGACCAATTTATATAAAAAGATATGAAGATATAAAAAGATACCAGGATTATAATGTTGTACGCCAGACGCGAGTTTAGTCTACAAAGATTCAACAGTGACGCTCGAATAAAAAAAGTTAAAAAGGCCAAATAAAGTACGAAGTAAAGTAATCTATTCCTTAGGTAGAAAATCCTTAGCATTTCGAAAATGTCAAAGTTTATAATAGGACAGTGACTCAAAAAAAAAAGAAACAGCTAGAGGTCAGAATACCGTAAGTAATGATAACCGTGCTTGAAAGTCACATGTCAAGCTATTACTGCCGTGTCCTGAATTTAGATAAGAAAAGCGAAAATTCGCATTCACGAGTGAAATTAATATTTATGCATGCACGTGGTATTTTTGTGCAAGAAATAGTAAATAGAAAGCATACGCACTGATACTCTGGATAAGAATACGCATTTGTACCATAGTACAAATATTTAGATGCTAAAACAAATAAAGAATTGAAATTTAATAGTAAACATACATACCTGTTAGTGACTTTTTTTCCGAAAAATTTAGAATATTATTTTTTAATATCAATAAACACAAACGTCAGGTATTTACGGATGGGCATTTTATTTATCAAATCAATCTCTTTTTTTTCGACCGTTTAAAATTTAGATATTTAGCTGACTTTGGGTACGCATCCCTTCTCATTGGTGCTCATACGTTGCATATAATTTTCATAAATGTAATGACTGTTCAAACCTGTGAGGCATAATGCACGTATATATGACAATTTTAATTATATTCTATTAAGAATAAATTCAGTCTCAGTTTAAACTAATAATGAATATTCTCTTAGTCTGGTAGTATCTATAAATGAAATTCGATATTTTTGACAGAAAACTCCTTTTGTTTGATTATCTTTCTGCTTTCCGACCACTGTGTTTCCGACCTAAGATAAATATTTTTAAAAGAAATATCGTTTTCTTAATTTTCTTCATGCCTTCCGACATTTTCCCATGCTATGATTGAAATACAAAATATCAAATGATAAACGTTCAGAAATAATCAGTTAATTCTGGGACATTATATATCAATAAACTATTCCCAGGTTTGTCACAATGCACAACTGCACGCTGTATTAAATAATACACACACAACGCGTTCAGGGACAGTCTCAAAGCATGAATTATATAGTTATCATTTTACTTCATATTTAATAAACATTAAACATTCACATTATTAAAACACATATTTTTTGTCAAAGGCAAATAGGTTCTAACGTATAAATGATTTTTTGACTCCAACCAAGTCTTTAT